TACCGCCCTGACAACATTGATCTAGTTGATTAGTAATAGCGTTAGTCCATTAGAGGAAGCCGTACATTGCTTTTGCTCATATGGAAACCTGAAGCATATATCCGAGACCTATGCCTCCTGAAGCTTAACCGTTCCCATGTCTTGAGCTGACTACTCTTTCTTGACAGGCCTTAAGCATCTTTGGAAAGCTTATCACGGAGTATCTGCACCAAAAAATGCGTGAAACTAGGACCAATGCACTGGGATGGAGCCAAACGGGTTTACTCGTAAAGATTATATCGTTCTTTTCATCTCGACAACAAGACCATTGTGTGTGGTCGGAGAATGGATATAGTAGCAATAACTGTACAGAGGCACCTGCAGCTCTAATCCGAGACACTGCCTCATTCTACGCGTTCGACCAGTCTATCTTCACCCAGTATGTATGCTCTCATACGAGTTTATGTTTACATCTAACGCGTCTCGTAGAGAAATTTTTCCTCGTATGCTTCGCTTCCCTGACTCTCATATCCCTCAAGTACATGCAAATTCGAGCAACGCATTCAGAATCAATGAGCTACCTACAGATATTCTCAACGAGATTTTCCTACGTGTCGTGCGGATAGCACAGAAGGATGTGGCGAGTGAGGAATCTATGCTGGTGCCACTGCGCCTTTCGCACGTTTGTCGTACATGGCGTCACGCAGTTGTATCGTGTGCATCTCTTTGGGCGTACATCAATGTCCTTGTGGATGTTTACCGCAGCACGGAACAAGATGAAAGGCTCGTAAAAGCTGTCGACACTTGTATCGAGATGTCCAAGGCAGCTCCGCTTAGCCTGTCAGTCACTTGCAATACCATCCACGTTCCAAAGCCGAAACTAGAAGTCGCGAGGTATATTCTTAACAGATTACTTGGTCAACAGCACCGCTGGAGGGTGGCTAATTTCGCCTTCAAAGAGATGGATCCTAGTAGATTGCCAGAAATTGAACTCATTAACGTGCCAATGTTGGAGTCACTCCGCATCTCTTGGAGGACGCTAGGGGCGTCTAATATGGCACAACCACAAGTAC